ATGATCATGACTTCTGGTCTTCAGAATATTGTGCTTAATTACATTAAAACTGATAAAAACTGTGATAGAATCTTGCACACATTCAAAGTACATTACAAATTGATTGTTTAGGATGACTTTTATTATACAGTAAAAGAACATAAGTTATTTTGATAATAATATTATTCCTTTGGCTTAAATGTCAAACTGAGACCTGCCTGTTACCTGACATTTAGTGGGTGACTGGTGATTACATGGTCTCACTTTTGCCAAGTTGGTAGCCATATTCTATTAAATGGTAACCAAGTGCTTTACATGTATCAAAAACTGAAGCATTGGGCTTTGAAGTAGTACTTGGTAGAAGTGAGGATGGATCAGAAAGTTACTTTCATGAATCTATTTCTGACAGCTGTAACATCAAACCAGCATATCACACAGCCAGAATTCTATTCCACACTAAAATCACTTTTCTGCATAACTGCTCTGCACAGTGAGACAACCTGCAGGTATATCAATTTGTTTATGCCATCTTGGAAGAATATAGCTACACCCTTATTTCTTGCATAAACACAAAATCTGCTTGGAATTGATGGTCAGCAAGTCTTTTTAATGGTAGTCATTTGGGGACAGATCAGAACTGTGCAGTGCATGTTGATGGCCTCCCCAACCCTGGAGATTCTGTGATGCTCTTGCAACCAGTTTTGAACAAAAAACACCAATGATTGCCTCTTGGAATGTCATGGCATTCACACCAAACACAGCAACTTCAACAACAGACCACCTCTGCAATGGTAGGATCACTTTGAAACAGTTGTGGCTGTCTGCAGACAGCATATTGATTACCATGCAAACCTCTGCCCTCTTGGTTTATGTTGCCTTGTTGCTGTTCATACATTCTTGAAAGAATCTTTCTTATCCACTTTCACATTTTGCTCTATTGGTATGACAATTTTAAATATAATTCAGAGCTGTGTGTAAATTTTCTCAGTGAAGCTAAGATGGCTGGACCCAGTCCAGTGCTTTCAAGGCATAGCTCTGTTTCTGTTCTGACAGGTGTTCTAATTAGCTTGAGTCTTTAAATTGTGAATGTACTACAACAACAAAAATGTAACTTCTAAACTATACAACACTTTAACGAAACATGGAACAATGCACTTGGTATAGTTGATTCTAAATAATGATTGTACTACGATTCAAATTCAGAAATGCTTCTCTCTGTGTTAAGTCCTGAAGCATGGTGGTGCACATGAACATACATCACACACTTCATGCTGATATCTGAATTCATTCTCCCTCCCTCCCTCCCTCTCTCTCCCTCTCCCTCTCTCTCTCTCTCTCTCTCTTCCCCCCCCCAAACACACACACACACACACTGTACACACTCCTTGTTGCATTCTTTGTTTTGCTTTCAGCAATATTTCACTGTTGGCATCTGCCAGTCCTGAATGATATTTGACAAATATTCTTTCATGAGATCCTCTCTGAACTGCAAACATCCATTTTTCCATCCTGTTTCTGATACAAAACATGTGCATTTGGTGTGCACATGTTTATCAGATGGTGAAATGTCTTCTTATACAAAATTTTTGTTTTCTTCCTTTCTATAGTATGTGCTGTCAACATCTGGTCACATTTGTGTACTCCCATTTTTTCTGTTGTGATTATCCTTCCTCAATAAATTCACTTCCTTCTCTCATTTATGAAAAGTGTTGAGGATTATAACATGCCTCTTATCTTTCCATCATTGATCCATCATGTGTGTACCTAACTTTTTCCCCCTGTTCTTAATTTCATTGCAGTGAGAGTGTCAGGGACATCTATTTGTTTTTCTGTATTGTTCCACAAATGTCAGTTTGTCTCTCTGTCTTCGAGTGAAAGAGGCAATTCTGGGATGAAGCACAAGTTGTCTTCAAATATTGTGTAGCCTTTATCAAAAAGCTCTTTACTGGGAGTCAGGACAACCTTGCTTGCATGCTCTAAATTTTCACTGTCCTTTAGCTCTGTTGCCTGGCCACAATAGATTGTTATAGTCCCTATGTGCCTTGATTCAGTTTTAGTTAGAATACATGTCTTTATTCCTAGTCTTGCCTTCTTGATACGTATAAATTGCACAATACCCAGACTTCCTATCCAGTAGTCTCTGGGTAGGCGTGTACACTCCACTGTACTTTCTGTTTACATAATCAAATGCAGGTTGCTCTTTTTTCATAGATTGAGGAACTTATTTGTGTCCTCAAAATGAAGAAATCTCAGTAATACAAGTTTGTTGTATAGAATGATTCTAAAGAAGCCATGTGTCTTACATATACATTTTGAATTAAACTCTTGTTTTTAATAAAAATTCTAATTTCTTTGGAAGATGTATCCTTCCACTTCTGAAGTCCTCAGATCTTCAACAAAACTTTGCAAGTTTCTCTGCTGCATATCTGTTGGTCTTTTATAATGATGCCAAACATTAAAACAATTGTAATGAATTATTTACTTCATTTATTCCTGGTATAAACTCACATCTGATGGGTTTGCCTAGTTTACTTATCCACGTCAGGCTTCCCAAGTTCAGCCTTGCACATGATTATAAAGGTGGATCATTATTTTTGTCATCATCATTACTTGTACCACTTTCTTCTGAATCACTGACACTTTCATCACTGCTTGAATCACTACCTGTTTCTTGTATAACAACATTGTCCTTCTTTTAACAAGACAAAATAGCATTTACATCTGTACCCACATTGTGTTTCCTATTTTCAGGCTAACAGATCACAGCTTGCTATATGTAAACAAAGTATTTTTCAACCTCTCCCTTACAATTAGGCAGGAACTTTTCATATAATTTAAATATTATCCTACAGTGCAGCACCTGTCAAAACTCTTTCTTCTGACATATGTATTATGGCAGAAACATTCATAAGATGGAGCAACATAGAAAAATGAAACATTGTGTCAAAAACAGTGTGGAATAATAACAGCCTCACATAATATTGTGTGAACAGCAGTTAAGAGGTTAATATAGCCAGTTTTTTATTGAAGGAGAAGAAATTATTATAATAGTGACAGTTTCAGTAAATGTAGGGTTCATGTTAATATAAAAATAAAGTTGTTACTAAGGCAATTTTTCCCGGAACGTCTAAACGTACAAATTTGCATATAGACAGACAATAATGTATAACATTCTTAAAATTGTGTGTTTGTACCTTTGATACTTTTAGAGATTACATTGAAATGTTAAGCTATGTCATCCCCCATCCTATTTAAATCCTATTTTCTTGAGGAAGAATTAAGCCATTTGGTTAACAAACATGATAATCTGCTTAATACTATTTTTAATTTTGAAGGCCAGGCTCTGAAACTTCATTTTGTGATCCAAAACTGAGTAGACTTCTCTGAACTGGGTGACAGTGTTTTATGTGAAGGTGGGAAAGATATCTTAACGAATATCTAAAATCTATACAAGCAAATGGACGAGTAAATCAGTTATTCAGTTCTTCAGTAGTACAAAAATGTACTAGGTGGAACATTTCCAAAACTTTAGCAAGATTTGTGTCAGTATACGGAAGTGAGCTTTGGACAATTATAAACACAAATTAAAAAGACACTGGTATCTGAAATAAATTTATGAGTACTGCAGGTTACACACTAATAGATAAAAAAATGAAATGGACATCAAAAGAAACTTAAAGTTCATTCATCAGATTGTTTCAGAATTACTGAACTAATTGGGAATAACAAACAACAGAATACTGAAATTTGGAACAGGAACCTGTGGGGAATAGAAGTTAGGAAGACCACTGAAAGGTGGCATGTAAAGATAACAGGCCACATGATCAGTTTTGTCACAGAACAATTCTGAACTGAGAAGACCTGACAATGTTGCCGTTAGATATGCCGGCACAAAATAGTTTGATACATTTCCACCAATATCAAAAAATTTTGTTTATGTTAAATACTTCTTGGTACCCTATGTCAGAATTTTTGTTTATTATATTGTTTTAATAACTGATTTTCTTCTGTTAAGCCTTATCTCTGGAAAGGTGTTAAAAGTACGATGAACATAAAATATTAATTATATTCACTTTCTAGTCATTCTGGGTCATATTTTTTAAACTGTTCCAATCTACTTGTCAGTTTAAGCAGTTCAGTTCTTTATACTTTTTGTCTCTCAGATTTTGAGATTCAATTATAAGTCTTTGTAGACATGCTAATTTTATAGAAATACATGTTATTGTTTCTCTCGATTTCCTTTGCACCTTACACTTAAATGGTTTAGGTGAACATATTTTTTATGCTAGATGAAGAAGGTAAGTAAAAATAAACATCAGTTTTCTTCTCTAACTTACAATTCCATGAGATCGCACCTGGTAACTACGTAATTAATATTAAATGTTCAGTAATTTGATAATTCTTTTATGGAATAGGCAGGTAGAACCAAGTATTTTCTTTCTGTTTCATTTCCCTCTGACTCATGGTTTAGGAATTAGACATTTCCATTACATATTAGACAACTCAGCTTTTCTCTCCAACTTCCTGTTTTAAAGGTTTTTGTGAACATATTTTTGAGATGCCATATGACTGATCTTACAAATACAGTGATTTTTTATGGAACCGGTGGATAAAATACACATTTTTTTCTCTTTCATTCATGTCACTCACACTAAAATTATCTGTGAAGTCATCTTCCCTTTCCTTTTGGCTAATGATGCAACTACAAAAGTGATGTTTAACTTGCCAACTTAATAGTGTGTACTGTAGAACTACTTGCTCTTTGCAAAGCTTTGAACTAGATTAGGCCAGTTTTCTCATATGCACTGACTGCCCAAGTTCTAATTACATCACCTCTGCAATATATCTTGCAGACCTCTCACAGAAAATTTACTGTATTTTTAATTCTTGTGTTGAATATTTTAGTGTATTTTATGTTATGTATCAGGTCAAATTAAATTATCTGGAAATGAAGATGGCAGATGATGTGGCTAGCCACAGCTAGGAATTTGGATGTCTCTTACATCAAATTAGCAATACACTTATGTTCAGGTTACATTTATTCAGGATGTTTATAGTGGAAGTACATGAAAATAAACTATCTTTATACAGACAAAGATGACATCCAAATTGAGTGACTGGTTCAGCGAACACCGAGTCAGTCAGTATGAGCAGAGTATTACAAGTAGCTCTGGTGTTATTGAAGAAATTGCAAACAAAAAATTTAAATATTCGTATGGACCACTTCCTGCTTTATTGTAATGTGATTTTATTATGAACCTGTATCAGTAAATGGACCATAATTATACAGAAATTAAATTTGTAAAGCAAAGTGTCCTTTGTTCTGGAAATCACAAAACTTTTCACTGCAGAAGTTGAACATCATTACTTATTAATGGTGTTATTGTTCCATTAGCATATGTGGTGCTCTTCTATGTATTCACTGTCACTCAACATCCTGAAACATGTTTATAAGAAGAAAACAGAGAATCAGACCTTTTCCATTTTTAAGAGGATACTAAAATATCTATAAATACCATACTAAAGATAAACAATACTTCACCTTTAAGTCCTGATGTCTTGCTCGTCTTAAGGTGCAATATTAATTCCAGTCTGATCACTTATCCAGTCCAGGTAAGATGTGACACGGACATAGCCTGATGGATAGCCACTGGCACATCCAAGGCTTGACACAAAACTCACTACTCCAATTTGCAGGTAGCTGTTACCGTTGTTGATTACCAAAGCTCCACCACTGTCTCCCTGAAACATTATTACCAAGAACTTTAGTTGCCATAGCTCTGTGAGGACTGATGGATAGTTATTAAAAGTACAAAAATAAAATTCAAATGTCATAAAGCAGTTTGACGGTAATAACCTCTGCTATTGATGTGCGCATGAGCCAAACTGAACAATATAAAGCAATTGTTTGAATTTAAGGGATATAATATTGATAGAGGATTTGTGAAGGACAATATAGAGAGAACATAAAGAATATGAAAAATACCTATAGCATCTTGTAGAATAGGTGTGGTCTGTGTAACCCCACAAAGCAGTCAGAAGGGTTCCATGAGAGAATACTTCCTAATGGTGGACTAGCTCATTTTACATCGCCTTTATTATAACAACAATAGACGTTTACTGTGCTTTATTTCTCTTTTAAGTCACACTATACTGGTTTAGGGAAACAATTATCAGTCACCATGTAAACGTATGCGTTCTCAGTGCATCAATGCACGCAGGTTGGCATTCACTTTTAGGATATATGCAGTTACAATTTTATGACGGTTTAAATTACTGCTGAATGACACTTCTTGCAATACATTTTGCCAGTTGTGCCCATTTTTGTCAAGTTGAGACGGAGCAGACTGGTGTTGATGATTTATCAATCTTGGTGACATAAAGTTTAAGTACTTTCTTAAACCCTTATAATGGATCACTGGCTCAAAATACGAAGTTCAAAGAAAAATGAAAACACAAAACAGGATCTATTACACTACAAGGTAATAGAAGGAGTTACAAGCACTCTAAGTATAAAAGACAAATTACAAAAAATCATAAATCATCATCCATTTCATATCTAGGTGTTGGTGATTCTAGTGCACCAGTGCTCAGCATGTATTAGGTTACCAAACTTTAGGAAACAGATTAGTTTTAGAATACTTTTATTCATCACATTTATATATAAAAAGGTACAGGTTTGTCTTTGCAATCAACAAGCTTTGTATGTGAGTGTTATTGCAGGAGCCAAGGTAAATCAGGTTCCAAAATACCAGACAGTAAATTAGATTCATAACTGACTAAGTTCTGGAAGGATTACCAGGATTTTATTTCTGTGTAACAAATTTCTAATCTAACTTCCAAATTTAATATCTCACTATATAAACTTTGGAATAAAATACCAGTGAATACCTATGTGTGTTAAAAGTTGAACAATGTATGCACACTTACATTACAGGTGCTCCTGCCTCCTGAACCACTAGCACAGATAGTAGTAGAGAAGATGATGTTACCATAATATGAGGAGCATACACTGTTGCTTATGATGTCCAGATCCACAAAATTTATAGTATCACTGACACCACCATCTGTAAAAAGAACACTTCATAATTTACAAATCCCCTCTTCATATACTGAACAGTGCTATCATAAAGTTTTGATTCAGCTGAGATTCTGCATTTGGATAATTCCAGTTTACCACATCATTATTCACTTTCATTTTGTGCGAAATAATAAGAAATTACTTATACAGGCATATGTACTTTCAAAGTTAATTTTATGATGGGACATTTTTATTGCAGTTTTTAAATATTTTATTTCTATTAATATTATTCTGATATTTTGCCACAATTAAAAAATATATAGGTAGTAATTGTTGGTTGTTATCTAATGAATTCTTCCTTGCCATTGCATGCCTTAGCAAGGGCACAGAATCTATTTCTGAGGTTAAAACATCCATAGGGCATATTGTTATACCCAGTGATAGTTCATAAGAAGCACCAGAAGGGACCTACAATTTAATATGGACTCTGAACTCTGATATGGGTCTGTTATCCTTCACATTCACAAAATTTTATTTTTGACAGAGAAGGCTTCAACCTGTGGGTATAAACATCTGCAGACAGATCTAACCAGGGATAGAACTCAGGAACCTGTGAATAAGAGTCCAATGTCTTACCCCAAAATCACAAGGTACCCCAACTAGAAAATGTAAGAGAAATACACATGCTGCTGATGGAAAGTAGGACACTGTTTTTCTACCATTATAAAATATTAGCAGCTTTTGTTTTAAATGATTATAAAATAGTTCCCTTCAAATGAAAATGACAGTTTTAAAAATGAACTTAAAACCAAATTTTCATTTCTTAAATGCGAGATGAAAGAATTGCATTCTGCAGCCATACAGTTAAATTATAGATCTGCTTATGTATTGCATAATAGAATTAATTACAAAATTGACAGAATTAATATTTGCAAAATTTTAAACCTGTAATTTGTTATTATGTAAGTTGCGTTATAATTACGTTTAACAGTTAACTTTTGTAAACAATCATTGATGTTTTAGGCAACAGTGGTAACTGTATAAGATTTGAGGTTTTCACAGCAGTAAGTATGAAGATTTCTGTCTTCTGGGTTGTTGCATTGTGTAGTATGGTAGATGGTTACCAACGTTTCAGAGGTCATATTGCCTCTGTCATCAGGGTGATGAATGAACCAATTGCCAACCAACCAACCAACCAAAAATCTAACTAAGGCCGGAGTCCTGCGCTAGTGCAGGACATCGTCCCTTGCTAGGTAACACCATTCCTGCATATGAAACGCATTAATGGAAATGATAAACAGAGCCTTAAAACTAAAATGGGAGTTTGTTTACGCTAATGGGGGTTCTGTCGTGGTAGGAGCCCCAACTATTCAAACTGGGGTAGGGAGCCGCATTGCACAAAAATGTGTAAACTTTTCTACAGTTTAAACATCTCTTTGCCAGTTTTCATTCTACAAAAGTAGGCTGAAATTTGAGGATCTCTGTATTGTTATACAAAAAATTAATAAGAAGTTAAATTTTTGAACAGGAGCTGCTCAAAGTCTTTCCTGCACTTTTGTTACTAATTTGGTCATATGGGACCTGCTGTGACACAGAATTTTCATATCTAACCTGAACAAGATACCCATATATACTATGCATTAAAAAATATTGAATCTTGGTTTTAAAATCTTTCATGTTTCAACTTCACTTCCATTTGGATTAGTAGGTTTCTTTATTTTGCAAACTATTGCAATATATTGATCATGCTTCATATATCTGTTCTTTAAGAATTTAATGTTCAACATACTTACTTTCTGATGTCTTGCCCCATCCACTGACTAGGGCATTTTGGCCTGAAAATGTTTCAGAAGCTTGTGAATAGGATGGCAAGTTTACAAGCTTGATGTTATCTGAAAAAAGGAAACATGTATTTCAATGCATAGCATATAAAATTTTTTATGTATGTTTAATTCACACCAGGATAATGTAATATGATGTACAAACGTAAGAAAACTTGCCACATGGAACTCCAGTCTTACAAATGTTCTTCATGCTGAGATAGTCAATTGAGTATAAAAGAAAATTCATCCTATTCTTCACAATCTTGGTCACATTCTGTTTTTTGTTCAAAATTTACAACAAAAAATTATCATTAGATACAACCATTTGGTTTATTCTGAAAGGTGCTGATGATTGTGTAATTCAATCTGGATTGTTGGATTTTTCAACTTTGTCCATTGTCTGATGTTATAAAATTACACACCATTTCAAGGACTGGATCCGTCCTCGTCACTGCCAGTGATTGAGATTAGATCATTCTAATGAACCCTACAGAGTAGGTGCCCTTCTCATTCACTACACCTGAAGATGACAGGTCCAGTTCTTGAAACATTGTGTAATTTTATAACATCAGATGATGGACAAAGTCCAAAATCCCAATAATCCAAACTGCTTTATTGTTTCTACATGTTTTACTTACAATATTTTTAACATCATTGTTTACCAGTTTGTTTACTAATTGAAGAAATCATAATAGTAATATGTGTTAATGACTATCCTTAGCTAGAGAACATGATGGTAAATAGAAGATCGTTGTCTTCTGGATTGTAGTGTTATGCAGTCTGGTAGAAGTTTGCCAGGCAAATAAAATAACCTCTGATAATATCTAAAATACTGTAGGTAAAATAAAAGTTGTTTTTGTTGATCAGAGTATAATAAGTATAAATAAAATTCAAATTCATCCTACTTTTATAAATATCGAAGCATAAATCTTTACTATTTGTGTTTACAAAATAAGAATGGATCATGTAGAGTACATATGGCCTTAAAAATTAACTATGAAAGAGTAAGAAACATTCCAAAAACATGAATGTACTTATTGACAAGGAGAAACCTTCAGATGTTGTCATCAACACATATTTTTAAATTTTAAAATCTTATATGGACAAAGTGTATGAAAGAGAAAATTATGAAGGTTGCTCACCACCGAGAGTGACAGGATTTGGAAACTTGAGGACTGCAATGTCATTTTGCAGAGTCTGTGTATTGTAACCACTGTGGACAACCTTGGATGAAGTCAGAACAGTAACACTTCCATCATTACTTGCACTCAATGAATGACCACCCACGAGGATTTGGAATTGTGATCTGCAAACAAACATGATTGAAATACTGATTAAATCCAATTCAGAAATTTAGATCCTCCCAAATATTATAGATCTATTTGTAAAGTATTCTGTAGCATTTCTTCCTACGTGTTTTTATATCATGGATGGCAATGTGTAGTACCAACATACAGAGATATCATTACCAGAAAATATAAATTTAAAACCACAAACATTCCAGTTCTAAAAATCCCATGATTTGAAAAGAGATATGCATTTAGTGGTTCTTTTAGTTCTGCAAAGGACAGTTTTTATACTTGCTTATATAATTTATTAAGTATTACATTTTATGCTATATCTGTGTCATTCTAGTAGTGCAGTGGGAGCATATAATTGGTGTAATTTTGCTGAAAATTGCAATGACCAAACTTCATGCCTGCTACAGGAAAAATGTTTATTGTCAGAATCCAAACCTTTTTTTTAGATCTTTGCCAACATTGACAACAATAATTCAAAGCAGTGAATTAATAGTGTTGACTATATTTAATGCAAGGAGAAACAATGTTTCCATATTATTTCAGGCCCTATAAATGAAAAGTATTAAAAACTGCTGTACTCTTTATGTTTGAAGAAATCTAACACCACTTATAAAGAATGAAAACATCTTGTAAATCTAGACAGCCTACAACAATACAGAAGGAATTACACTGTCTAAAAAAATACCCCTTTATCCTCCAATAGGAAGCATTTTGGGAAGAAAGTGGGACTTTCCAGTTTAATACTGAAATAAGAAATCCCCTTGTCTGGAAATATTTCATAGTGACTGGTGGCAGAGGACTTTATATGTGTAATGAACTACAGGGTGGACATAAAGTCTAGAAAAATAGATGAATATACATAATAAATGGTTTATTGATATTGCATTACAATACATGATATATTCAATGTGTTGTCCCTGATTAGCAATGCATAGTTCAATGCGCTATGAAAAATTACAATGAACGTGGTACATTAATGCAGCATTTCCATCAATCCCTTCACATGCATCTGTGATGTGTTGCCTCAGATGATTTGTGTCTCTGATTTTAACTGAATAAACCCATTTTTCTCTAATATCTGATGAATACAAAAAGTCTGATCAATAGTTAACATATTACATAAAAACCCATACTGATGATCCCCAGTAATTTTGTCTACGTATGGACATAACCTTGAGAGAATGGTATTGGATAAAATTTTGTATGAAGTTGATGACAGTGAAATGTCTTGATAATTACTACAGTCAAGTTTTATTGCCCTTCTTGTAAATTGGTACAATAATATTCTCCTTCCACTGCTGAGGAACTTCTTCATTATTTGAAACAGAATTACGGAGTTTGTGGATCTTAGAATGTAACATTTCACCTCCTGCTTGAATCAGTTCTGCCAGAATTTGATCACTACTTGGTGATTTATGCCTTTTCATATTTATCTTCCATACACCCAAAAATAGTACACTTATATTCAAATGTTTATATATAATCCCAAATTAAAAAAATAAACTTGTCTTGTTCTTAACTTTCATGAATACCTATGCTGAAAGTCAATGAGCAGAATTCATAATTAACACTATTACTCAATACATTTCTGAAAATTAAACTATACAGGTTTTGTCACATGAAAGTAAATACTCACCCTTGAGCACAATGCGCAGCTGTTAACACATAGCTCTCAGAAATGAGGGAACCGCCACAGAAAGATGAACCATCTATAGTAACAGCAACTTGATGTGGGAATTGACCCCTTGCTGCTGGAGAGCCATTTACTATCTTTGGTGCTGGAACCTTTGGTGCTCCCTCTGTAATTCAAATTAAACAATGTAAGTTTGTTCTTCTACTTATGACGAAGATGTTTACTACAGAAGAATAGAATAATCAGTTACAATTATGATTCGTCACTTTGCTTATCTGCCCATTCAGAAAACTTTATATGACACATAAAGTACTTGAGTAATTCCAGTTTTGATAATTGAAACAAAATTCGACCAATCAGTTTCAGTGATCCAAGATAACCAAACAAATAGGATTAGAAGTTTTCACAGCAGTGAGTCTGAAAAAGGCTGTCTTCTGGGATTTTGTGGCATGTAGTCTGGTAGAAGTTTACCGACATTGCATAAGTCCTTGCTGCCCTAATAATGGAGGCAGCAAGGACCTCTGAAATGTTGGTAAACTTCTACCAGACTACATGGCACAAAAACCCATAAGACAGCCATCTTCTTGACCAAAAATTTATGTTAACACAAACTATTCTGTACTCTGAATATTACTAAGTTTAAATGCTTTCTTTACATTAGCAGCAGTGGTAAAGCAATATTAACTGTTTACTGAACATAAACAATTACAGGAATGACTATACTTCCTGTATATTGGTCCAGATTGTAAACTGATATAGATTTCAAGGCTTTAAAAGTGTTACAATAGAATACTAGTTTTTGTCCTTATTTGCACTTCTCTTTGTCAAATAAGGGACCTAAGTTTCTTAAGAACCTCAGAGAAAATGTTGTAAGTGAGGGTAATTTTCAATTTGAAAATGGCATTTTAGGAATCAATAGCTGTGTTTTAATAACCGTTCAGTTGGGTTGATTCTTCTAACTTTATTGTCATCATAGGGCTGTTTGGGTAAAAATTAAGTATAGAAGTTGTATCAGTGACTTAATCACTGCTTAACTTACCAACCAGGGGCACATAGATATTCTTGGGTGTAAGACCAACACCAAACCCTCCTGTTGAGGCAGCCTGGTAAAGATAAAATTAATATAATCATTTATCAATTTAGTACTCTGTACTCTTGGTCGGTTGTCAGTCTGTCTAGCCCAGTATTGTCCCTCCATCTGTGCTTAGGTTTCTTCCCTTCAGATTTCTGACTATAAACTTCATATGAACTTTTCATCTTTCCCATTCATACTACATGTCCTGCCCATGTAATTCACCAAATATATAGTGAAGATTATAAGTCCACATTATCCAGTTTTCTCCAGTCTCTTGTTTCTTCCTCTGCCTTAGGTCCAAATATTCTGTTCAGCATTTTGCTGCTATAAACTCTAAATCTGTGGTCCTCCCTCAAGCCAAGAGGGTTAAATTTCATATCCACTTAAAACAACAAGTGCATTACTGGTATATTTTTATGTGTTTCAACCTTTACACCTGTAGATATGATATAGGAATACAAATGATCCTGAACTTGGTGGTAACAAGCAAACTATGAATTTAATCTGCTCTTAATTTCATTAATACAATTCTGATGTGTTACTGAGATTTCTAAATATTTTAATTCTGCTGTATTTTTTTAAAGATTTCCTACCTATATTTGTACTATGCCCTGTATTCTGGTGACAAGAAGCGAATGCATACTTCGTTTTCTCTGTATATTTTATAACATTATGTCTGTAGAAATATTACAATACTGTGAGAATGTGCAATTCTGATTAATCATTTTGCATTTATTTCATATACGTTATTCATTTATCCTATCACAATACCAGATCTTCTCAATCTCTCTCTAAATCGACCAATAATTTCAGATAAAATTTCTGTGTTTAGTTACATTGTAATAAAACCAATGGAAATATATTTGGCTATTTTAAAGTTAAATACCTGTACAGCTGCAAGCAGGAGACCAAAGATGAATACAAGTGATATCATGCTGTGTAAGTCTGTGGTGAAACAGGTTGCACACAAAATCTGCTTCAGTGTATTTATATATGATATAGTCAGAAATGTTCAACTTATCTTCATAAAGCTTTATCATCCTGAGGAAAGATTAAGTTAAGCGTGTAGAGTAAACTTATCATTTATCAGAAACCTGCTGGTCAGCACTGTTGAGAAACTGGGAAATCAGAGAACACCTTCATCATGCCAAGATTATTAACTTGTCCTTCCAAAAATAGCCACCATTGTCATTAAGGGCTTCATTTCAAAGTAAGCTAGATTTTCTTGGTTTACATGATGGGCATTTTGTCAGGCACATTTAGTGTCCATGTACTTTTAGTTGGTCCTTAAATAACTTATTCAGTTTCTGTTCTGCAAATCATTGTGATTATTCACATCTGTATCCAGGACCGTACTTACACTTCTCGGGGCCCGAGACACTAAGCTCTTGCGGAGAAATTACTCCTGTAATGTCTTTTTGAAAAAATACAACAATAATTGTAAAATGGCATTTTACAGGGTCTTTTTGTAAAAAAAAAAAATCGTATTTATCAGGTTTGTTCAAATGGGGGGTTCACTGAGTGCGGAGCACCGGGGCCTGGAATCCAGGGGGCCATGATCGATAAAGCACAAAACGTTTAATATTTTTAATTAGAAATAATAATATAATTTTGTCATTGGTTGCCACAGAAATATATAAAAATGCACACAATAAGACAAAAGGAAATATTTGTTGTGGCCCGATCTCACGACTTGGTTTACTCATTGCAGCGCGGTTTAATATTTTCTTATTTCGAATAAGTAAGGGAACACCGATTTCTTCTTGCATCTGGGTCTCAGGTACCTTGCATGACCCTGATATTTATCATTGTAATTTTTACGTAGTAAAATTCGTGTTTTTTTTAACTTTATTGGGGGCCCCTGTATCTGCGGGGCCCCAGGCTAGCGCATCATGCAACTATGCCTAAGTACGGCCCTGCCTGTGTCTCTGTTTACTTAACTCCCTTACTCTGTAACCAGTCAGGCAGCTGTTAGTCACACACAGAAAATATGGATAAAACACTTTAGTTTTGGCTAACATTTTGGACATTGTTTGTTGTTTCTCATAAAAGGACGTTTTGGGACTGGATCTGTCTCCATCATCATCATCAGGTAAATAAGGGAGCAAAAGGGTTCCTTCTCTGTGGGGCAGGTAGTCTCCATCCCACCATCAGCATTATCCTTTAGAATGATCAGAAAACACTTTAATTTTATAAGAGTTTACAAGCCCAGTCATACAGAAAAATGTAGTGAAGTTGTAACTCTTCTGCTAAGATTCTTGGAATTTTATCTGTTATTATACAGAGCTTGTTTAATCCCATCTGAAGTGCTATTGATGGATTCTTACATGAGTAGGTTTTATTTGTTAATGCAATAGTTTATTTGCAACTAAACATTGAAGGTATCTGTATAGCTGGTAGAAACAAAATGACATTGCACTGTTATCAGACTTGATTATAATGCTAAACAGTATATCTGTCTTGCTGCACACCTTGGCATGTGATGGCTAGCAGGGTGGCACTTAACCAGAGAATTCCCTTTGAATTTTGGGGGGAATTTCTGTTCATAGATGTTCATGAATGCAATGTGAAGTTGGCTGTATGTAGAGGGGACTGTATTGGAGTTTGACTTCAGTGCCTATATTTTGCAATCAGTAAAAAGAATAATTGAGTAGTCAATTCAATGCAGTCTGCAAGAACTTAAAATTTGTGCAAATGATTGGAGCAGTAGTATTTTAACCATAAGAATGTCACAATTTCCAGTTTTGAATTGCATAAAACTATCTATTTCTTTTGGACATGTTGGCTCATTTAATACCAGCAATTTACAGTTGTATAAACATTTAGTGTTCATATTTTCCTGTTTATCAAATGAGTTTAATATGAGAAATATATAAATATCAACCTGCATGTAGGTAGATTTCATCCATATTCAAGTTTGTAAAAAAAAAATTAAATATTTACCAAATAATATTTCTTCTGTATAAATAGTTCATTAAATTAATAGTTTTTTTCTTTTTGTGGGGAATTGGAAGATGTCTTTCACTGACACAATTATTCATGTGAAATGTTTAAAATGAAAATTAATTTGAAAATGTATTTTTTTCAAGGAAGCAAGTATTTTAGATTTCACATTAACATTTAAATAGCTTTCCTTAACTTTATGAATCGAATATTTGTATTCTTTCGTCATAGGTTTCGTGAGGTACTGGATTAATGTTGTCTTATCTTTAATTGATAATGAGAAATTTCCCATACCACTTGAACATGACAAGCTGTGATCATCAGATTTATCTACAATATTAATTGATTTTTAATACATTACACTCTTACACAGATAGCCCCATTTCAAAAGGTCATCTTACAATACTGATAAGCATCTAAATGTACAATGTTATCTTTGGGTTATTTTTTGACGTAAATACGTCTATACGGAAGGGTCATTCGGCAAAAAAGTGAAAGGAAAACGTATAAGAACCATTTCAACAATGTGTAAATATGGACCGACAACAATGGTCAGCTTACGTGCATTGTTATGTTACCTAAGAAACGTCATCTGTTTACTCGGCATTGTTGTATTACATTACTGCCGTCAACAATCCGCTTTCGTTATTACGGAAATAGCTGAGCTGTGAATCGGTTGTAGAAGAAATGCGTCGTAGAGTAGATAATTATGTGCTGGTAGAAACGTTTTAGAATATCACAAGTACTTTTCTTATATAAAAATTATTACATTACATTACAGAGACGTATTTACGTCAGATTCTCCGGAACCGTGGTTCCACTGTCAACATTTTATTTTTATTTTCTGAATTGATATTGATATTCCAGAATGCTGCCATCTTTCTTGGTTTAATCCACAGTTAATTCTTGTATAATGCTGTAATTCCTTGCTGCCTTTCTGTTTCCTTCTATCTTAATTTTCATTACATTTTAGTCTATCCTATATTATGTTTTGAATAGATTAAATATATATATATATTTATCTAAACTATTTGGAAATATTATTGCAGGGTGCATTTAAATTTCTCATTTTATATCCATTTGCCCTTATTGGAATCAATTCAATAGTAGTGTCATGCATTCTATTGGCAGCTGTAGAAATCTGGATCTAATATTCAAGAACCACAGGTGTCTATACTAGTACCATCTTGTGGTAGAACACGTTGTTGGATTTGATTCTGTGCCAGGAAGCGATACAGATCGATAAAGGCAAAAGACGTGCGCTTTAAGTGTCCATGATCGTGTGTGTGTGTCTGTGAATGTGCTAACGTGTTTCGTGATACTAGGTGTGTGTATTGGAACGCCATTTTATATGGTGGTCAGGAGCTTAATTTTTTGGCAGGGTTGACTTGTAATTTAGCAACAGAATGTCCGAAGGAAAGGTTTTCGCTTCTGAAGGAAAAAGTATTGATGAAGATGAGCCCGAAGAAGGTGAAATTCAAGACGATGGTTCATTAGAAGATGTAAGCTCGGATGAAGACACCCCATCGATTTGCTGCAGAAAAGCCAATGAAAGTTCTTACGGCAATAAATATCCTATTTCTCAGATCGTTAAATTAGAATATGTAACTCACAGTCATAATTGCCGTGTCCCTAAAGCATGTAAGCGTAAAAGTAAATGCTTTTCGTCTACTACAGAAGGAAATCAGTCGAGGTTAAATGTTATAAAATATAAGGAACAAACGAATAAATCTATTAACGATGTTTATCATGTGACTCTGAACCCAGCTGTAGATGACCGTAGAAGGGAAGATAATTTTGTTGATATGCTCAGTGAATATAAATCTGTGAGGCCTAAGCAGATTGCAAAGGATGAAGGTGAGTTACAGTTGGCTGTCTTCTGGGTTTGGCGCCGTGTAGTCTGGTAGAATTTTACCAACCTTTTCACACCTTCCTCCCACCACCCACATTCCGTGAAAATCTCAAATCCTTCTGAGTTATAGTTATGTGCATTGATTGCTGATCGATGTTACGGCGGAGAATCTGTGTGTTAGCAGTTCAGCATAGTTGTCTGGTCAGAGGTCTACATAACTAACTAACTAACTAACTAGATGGCTTACAGAACCCAAAGGTTCATCACCGAATTAACCTAAGCCCCCCACCGGACCCTGACCTGGGCCAACATAATCCAGTCTCCTTCAACTCCTATCTACCATAGATCCCGCCTGACATTATCCTCCCATCTACGTCTAGGTCTCCCCAGTGGTCTCTTCCCCTCAGGCTTCCCAACCAATACCCGGTGTACACCTCTTGTCCCATCCATGCGCGCTACATGCCCTGCCAATCTCATTCTTCTCGACTTAATCACCCTGACGGTACTGGGAGAGGAGTATAAATTTTTAAGTTTGTCATTATGCAGTTTTCTCCAGACCCCATCGTCTTCTCTCCTAGGCCCAAATATCCTCCTTAACACCCTATTCTCAAACACCTGCAATCTATGTTCCTCCCTCAAAGAGAAAGAGACCATGTTTTGCACCCATACAAAACAACAGGCAAAATTATTGTTTTGTATACTTTAATTTTCAGGTTCTTAGAAATCAGACGGGAAGACAAAATATTTTGAACTGAAAAGGAGCAATGTGTGTTCATGCCGTCCTGTTCCTGGATTAGATATCTCAAGATTCTATGTATAATTACAAATGAATATTAATAGTGTATTAAGTTTATGTTTGGGCTGGGTTAATTTGTGGATTCTGTAGTTTTGAAGTATGGTTGATTTTACTTCCATTGGTTAGTAGTCTTGGATGGGCATCAGTGCCATATTGGACACCATAGTGAAGGCAAAGGAGTCTACATACCAAGTCATCACAAAATTTTTTTATTTTAAACCCATCATCAGATTTTAATTGAAGTTTGTGAGCTTGTAGACTACTACACAGAGAATAGTAATCTTGCAGTTGCTGTGGTGCTGAGTGCAAAAACATAAAAAATAGCACTTTTTTGGCATGTCCCTTTCATCAGATATTATCACAACTGACTTCTGTATAAGTTACAAAACTTATATAGATCTTGTTTAAAAGTGAATGAAATTATCTTTTTTAAAGATATATGACTCACATTCAGGCAGAGTAGTTTATGTTTCATTGACACCTGTTGTAACCTTTGACCTTCAGTTTCTCACAAAATGTAATTTTTTCAGCAAGAAAAATATTTGGTTCACGGTGTTGTAATCTAACATATAGAGAAATGTTATCCTGGGACAGCTATGGGCTCTCTTGTAATAAAAAAGCATGACATTGCAGGCTCTCTAGAGTTATTCATAGAGCCTGATATGCAATGTTGTAATCTCTTCCCAGTTTTCATCTCTTTGCAGTCATCAATGTTTGAGGCTTTGTAGCAGTGTCACATACTGTAATTTGTGCATTTATCAGTCCTTTCTGACCCTTTGTAGCAATGTCAAATGCTATAGTTCACATGTGACATTGAATTGTTTTGCATGGTAATTGTGTGTGGTGCTGTTTATGTGTTCCTTGCACAATGTGAATGAAATGAATGCATATTAGGCTGAGCATATCTGTCTGCTTGATTCAACTTGAAAACTATTGGTTGGATGTGAATGACATTTCGTATGGACATTATGTCATTGGGATCTACTATAAAATAGCACAATTTACTACAATTGATTCAATCAGCCTGGCAGATAAACAAACTTAGAGATAGGATTGAAACTAGCGCCACTTGTATGTAATAGAGCCATGCAATGATGTATGATTGCAGATTTTTGGTAAGTACAACATTTTGGTGTAATAATTGTTTGTATAGTGTAAAATAACAACATGGTGACTGAAAGAGAAAAATTTGATTTGATCTGGTTTGAGCCCCATACAGCATAATGTGCACTCCTGCAATATAAAGTGGAAAAGAAATGCCATACAGTAACCTCGGATATTGACGAGTAGTTGTGTCTCACATTATGCTCCTGACATTTAAATTTGGCAATGCACATTCAGGCTGTTATTTTGGTGTATGGAGAGAGAATCCACTACCACCATTGGTGGTGGTGGTGGTGGTGGTACATTTCTTGGCAGTAGCTCTCAGTTCTATTAGAACAAGGGATCTATAAATAAGAATGGGAATGAACAAGTCACGGAAAATAAAACAAATGCCTGCTCCTCTCGCACTTCTAGACTCGCCAATACAGCACAAGTAAGACTGTGACAATGCGAATGAAAATACCGGCGATTACTTTTTGATTGTTAACAAAAGGTTACTGAGCTCCGAGCGCGTCAAAGCCAATAATTGTATCCTCTCTTTTGAATAACACAATCTACATATTTCGGCGTTCATTTCCATTTCCTTCTCCGCTTTCAGTGACGTAGCTGAAGCTCGCAGTTATGTTGCAAGGCCGTAGTTTAGGCAACACGGAGTTTTCCTCCGGGGGCTTCCCCGGTTTCTCCATTCACACACAGAAGAAGGCAATGGCAAATCACTTCTGGATCCTCTGCCAAGAACGTATATGAACAGGTCTCAGTCCGAGAAAAGGATGGAAGGATTCTGTTCATATGGACCTGTCGTCAGACAGAACACTAAATAATAATAAGCTGAGGTGGTCTAGCGGTTAGAACGCTGGCCTTGTAATCCTGGGGTCTCGGGTTCGAATTTATAACTTGTGTTGGGCAAGATCGTGGTGTAGGCAACACGGAGTTTTCCTCTGGGGGCTTCCCCGGTTTCTCCGTGGCATCCCAACAATTACTCCATTCACACACAGAAGAAGGCAATGGCAAACCACTTCTGGATCATCTGCCAAGAACGTATATGAACAAGTCCCAGTCCGAGAAAAGGATGGAAGGATCCTGTTCATATGGACCTGTTGTCAGACAGAACATTAAAAAAAAAAGCTCTGTAGATGTTGAGTTGGGTCTAATGTCTTGTGTGCCTTTTCTGTTGGAAGGAGTGTTTATATAATGTTTCATCCACATGATGGTTTTAGGTTTTTGATAAGATTTTGACCCAGTTTGTTCTTACTTTCAGATATTGTGCAAGAGAAGGAGAACAGACATGATTGCCAGAAAGAAACTACAGTTAAGAGGAAGTGTAAGAGAAAACGTCGGCATTCTCTTTTAAATAACCCCAAGCCAAGGCGACCGTTATCCAGTGACAGCAAGCCTGACAGTGAAGTAGGAAGTAGAGTAGAACCAGGAGAAGAGGAGAAGAAAAAAGATGCATTTATGAAGTTAGAAACAAGATCTAAATGTTCTCATTCTAAAAAAAGAAGTGTTAGTTCTAAAAGAGAAAAACATCGGTGGTCAAAGAAAAAGGACAGTAGGAAATGCTTGATCAAGAAGTTGTCAAATACAATTGAAAAGAATGATTGTAGTGGTCATGGAAACAGCTTATTGAAGAGGCTGCAGACAATGATGACCACTAATGTTTCAATCAGAAAAGAAAACATTGTTGAAAGTGTGAAGAAAAATGAGGACAGTATTCAAGGTCAGGAACTGGAGCATAGTTTGAGGAGAAAGTTGCGAAATCTCTTGCCTCCTGTTGATGTGGTGACATCAAATAATGAAAACAGTGAAGGTACTACAGAGATAACAAACCAAAATGAACTTGATATTGATTTGTTGCCTGTTATTAAACAGCCTGAGCCAGTAGTTATTACTATAGATGACAGTGACAGTGAGCTATTGGAATGTGACCTGACAGAGAAAGTAAATAAAAAGGACAAAATGAAATCAATTGGAGACAAAGAAGGTGTAAAACAAACTGATGATATTGATGAAGATGATTTAGTTCAGTTGCGTCTTCTTGCTTTACAGTCCAACCGTCGTAAAGAAACTATAAAGCCAAAGTTGGAAGACGATGAAGTTATGCAGTTACGCTTAGAGGCTTTAAAATCAGCAATTTTAAAGAAATGTCAAGTTAGAAAACAGCGTGGTGTTACTTTAAAGACAAAGAAAATAAACATTGTAAACAGTCCTTTTCCATCAGAGTTTGAGATTGGTAGTGGGAAAGGTGAATCAGGCCATGAAGTACTGAAACCAGAAGTCATTTCAAAGGTAGCTGTCCCAAGTGAACCAGATGAGACAACTACTCTTGTGGATATGGATCTCTCCCACACTGATGATGAATCAAGTGCACAAAATGAGATAATTACTGATCCTATTTCTGGAGATATACCATTGCCAACAGATTCTACAAGTACATTTTTACAATTAACACATGAAGATCATAGTACACATAATGTTCCTTGCATTAATGAGCCATTGTTCACGGTTGAAGACAATCCTTTGGATTTAAAACTGAACCAAAGTGAAGAGATGTTATTGGCATGGAACCCTGCAGTTGCAGTATGTAGGAGTCCTGAGACAGCCAAATTTGATCCAAAAACTTGTCAGTTACCAGGAATATGCAGCAGTAATGTACAAGTTTCTTCGCTGAATTCAGTTAATTATTCCAACTCTCAGCTACCATTTCCTTCATCCTCATTCCCACCACAGCAGTTGTATAATGAGTTATGTGACAGTAATAACAGTTCTGACCTTCAACGTGCAGACTTGGATGGTGTTCCTTTAGAGGCTTTAAGCAGTCAGTTTGATTCATGTTTGTCACCTAGTGTTTCTGGTTCCTTTGTGTCATCAGATATAAATTCTCCAGTTATTTCTAATGCACTCATCACATCCAAGATAGGAGTGCATGTTCCCATAACAGAAACTGAGGTTCGTAGAAGAGATGCTGTTATGTGTGCACAGCTTTATAAAATGGATCCCACAAATGTTTCTTATCAGGACTGGGATGGGAATAAGAAGGTGCACTTGCATTCCAAGAGTTATGTATCCTTCAGGAAATCACTACCCGCTGCACCAACAAAACCATCAGGTGTGGCTGAAAGTAATTCTAGCTCATTATTTCCAGTACCTTCAAAGTTGCCTTTTTCTAGTATGAATCCTCATATCCAGGAACTGAATGGAATGAAAACAGAAATTCCTTGTCAAAGTCATTATGTTTCTATGCAAGGCAGAGATAGTACTGTACACAAAACAGATTTTAAAGTGGAAGAAAATTCAAGTGAATTAGTAAATAATGATCTGTCTAATATGATTGTTTTGAATGAAGTTGGACGATGTTCTTTACCAGAGGCTAAAGTAGAAGGCAACTTGAATGAACTAGTTACAACAAAGAAGGAAAGCAAGTCTCAACAGTGGGAACAGAGCTCAGTGAATTTGGATGAAGATGAAGAAATACTGAGAGCTAAAGTGTTGACAACATTGTTGAGGAAATCTTCCACATCTGCAGTTTCTGGCCCCTCTAAAGTATTTTCCAAACAAACCAAAGATCCCCTACTTTCTGTCTCACCTAAGCTCATTTCACCATGCAGCATTAGTAGTTCAAAAAATCAACATCAAATTTCACTTATTCAAAGAAAAGAGAAACTACCATCCAAGCTTCTAGACCCCTCACAAAATTTGAAAGGATGCAATAAAACTACTCCAAGAGTGCTCAGTAAGAAACTTGAACATTCCCAGAGTAATTTCTCCAGTTATAGTAAGGGAAGTATCATTAGAACAAACTGGTGGAAGAAGTCTTTAAGGAAGGGGTTTCCAGGAACAAACATAAAGCAGATTTTAGTTGGTGTAAACAGAAATCCCAGTAATATGAAGCAAGTTAGAGTGCCTTCAGGTACTGTTAGTAGTGATGCCCAGAGCATGAGTATAGAGGTAAAAAAGGCCAGCAACACACAGTGTAAGCCCGTTGGAAATCCATTGTCAAGAGTTGTGTTTCATCCCAGAGTATTCAAACCAACTACAATCCAAGTAACAGTGCCAACTGAAATGGTAGATGATGAACGTTGCAGAAGAAAAATTGCAGAGAGTTCAGTTGCATCTGTACAGCACACGCAAAGGTTTGTGATACGTTTAGGAGAAGATTCAGATAGTCAGGATGAAGAGGATAAGATAACCCCGGCTCCTAAACGAAGATGTGTGATAAAAAACGATTCTTCGGTGCCGCTGTTGACTGTATCCACTTCAGCTACACACGTTGCACCGTGTGATCCACCTGCGAATTGTGACAATACTATTGCTTCATCAATATCATCACATCTTGCTCATCCATTGTCTGGTAAACAGAATACGTGTTCAATTCCAACACAGCCTGTGTCATCTGACTTTGAAAAGAGTGTGGACATATTTCTGAAACAGGCACGGAAGTCACAGGAGGCCAGAGCAAATTCTGTGATACAGAAGAATTTGACACCGGATAAAAGTACAGGGGGGAAAGCTAATCCAATATCATCAGTTACTCCACTGGTAAGAATTTTTTTTATATGCATAAGTTGTCAATTCAGCACTTACTGTATTGAAAATAAATCTGACAGGGGTTAAACATTGCCCACTAAAAATAATAAGTGCAACAAAGACATGATACCGTTCAGCTCCAATATTGTGAACTGCTAGGAGCAGTTTACTGACTTGCAACAATAGAAGACACCTGTATTGCAGTTCAATTGTACTTGATACTGATCAGTAGTTACATGGTTGTGCAGGCCATGGTTTTTTTAGGCAGTCAACCATGTCAGTTACATGAAGAGACCAATGTTACGGGAACCATCTGAATCATAGGCTGTCATGAAGTCTATAAATAACTAATTTGCTGTTCCATTGTGCTCCCATTTTTTTACCTGTATCTGACAAATTCACAACATGTGATTGGTAAATCCATTACAACACTTATTATGCTCCTCAATAATTTTGCCTTCATTTGGAGTTAACCTTAAAAGAATAATTGTAAATGTGCTAAATTTTGTATGTAGTTGATAACAGTGATTTTGCTACTAGTCAGTCTTATTGCCCCTTCTTATAAGTAGATATAATCCTTCCACTAATCTATTTTTTCTTCCAAATATAATCAGTAAGTTTGTGGATCTCAAAATGTGATATATTAGTTGCTGCTTCAGTGGATTCAGCTGGAATTTGATCAATACCTAGTAATTTAAACTTTTCAGTGGCTGTCTTAATCTCACAAGAACTAGGGTTTGTTGTTAATGGATGAGCTGTGTGTATTTCAGTTTGCCTAAGGTAATTTACTCCACGTACATTCAATAGAGAGCCATGGTGGTCTAGTGGTCAGAACACTAGCCTTGTAAGCCTGGGGTCCCGGGTTCAATTCCCGGTGGTGCTCAAATTTATAACTTGTGTTGGGCAAGGCCGTGGTCTAGGCATCACGGAGTTTTCCTCCGGGGGCTTCCCCGGTTTCTCCGTGGCATCCCAACAATTACTCCACTCACACACACAGAAGAAGGCAATGGCAAACCACTTCTGATCATCTCTGCCAAGAATGTATATATGTATGAGCAGGTCCCTGACAACCTGAAGAGGTTGGAAGGATCCTGTTCATAATATATGGACCTGTCGTCAGACAGAACACTACAAAAAAAATTCAATAGCTGATGAAAGTGATTTCTTCCGCCTATTCAAGATATTGTGGGGATCTGCAAGCAGATCATCATTCTTATCTTTTATCAAGTTAGTTTTAGGTTGGCACTCCTACTTAAATTCATTTATGCCTCTGCACATGTCTCTAATTATATTAACTCATAATTCTGTCTTTCAGATGTTCCTTTTCCTTTGTTCTGATAGTTCTAGTATCAGGTCTTGCGTTGTTCGTACTATCTCCAATCATTTGATATTCTGCAGCCACTACAGTATAGCTTTCTTCCTCTTATCTTGTAATTTTGAACAGTTTGTGAAGTCATTGTTTGTGCTGCTTTAACTTGTAATGACCTAGACTGAATGTTTTCAAAGCCCTGTTGATGTCCACATTATCATCCAAATCTTTGGAGATTTTGACCTGACACTTTTGCTTAGCTTTTGCGTTGTTCAGCTTCTTTAGATTAGATCTCTTCTTATGTG